CCTTTAAAGTTCGGCTTATCTTTCTTTCGTTCTGTGTCAGTGTTTGTTCTTAGAATTGAACACACACATTGAAAGAATGTGAACAATTATTCTAAATTTGGAATGCTGCAGGAGTGGGCAAACTTTAAAGAAGATGCATTTTTTAGATATAATATTGTTTATCTCTTTCAGAGAAAAAATGTTTCTATAAATTCAGAAAAAATATTTTCATGTTTCGATACACATACAATCAAATACTAATGATTATTATTTAAGCATGACAACGATTTCTGTAGCGTCGCTATACCTAAATATTCTTAAAAATTATAAACCATTAGCTTAAAATCATGAAATCTTTAAGATAATTGAACGAATTTATTTGAAGAAATGAATTCACCTATCAAAGCGATATATAATTTTTTGTTAAAACTCAATGTTGCATAAACCATTCTGTTAAGTGTCTGGCACAAGGTTCTTAAAAATATTCAGTTTTTTTTAAAAGCCATTAGCTTAATGTATTTTTCAGTCACTTATAAAAATTAAAATAGTTCAATTCAACAGAAAAAATAAAATGTCTGAATAATATCTTGATATGTCTATCAGTAAGAGAAGATATCACAACCGAATTACGTTTCCAACATTATTAATAAAAATTCAAAATTTGAATGGAAAAGCAATAATATATAAAATAAATTACTCGGCATATTTGTTCTAAAGTGTGACTTTAAAAATAATATGTCTCTTTATAACTTGAAAATATTAAATTAAATAAGTTATGCCACATGCTAATGCTCTTGGATTAAAACAGATGATCTTCGTCAATATAGAAATTATCTTATAACCATTTAAGTAGCTAATGATTTAAATTTGATTTTACAAAACATCGCATTATATCTTAAATTTGTTCAAAACTGTCTGCCATAATAAATGTCTGGAATAAAGTAAATGAAAAGAAAGACATGCATATAACGCCACTCTTCAGCAAGTTCCTTTTTTCCAGCGAAGATAAACATTTCGTACAACTGAAATATCAACCACTTCCACAATTAAAATCAATTATTATTATTATTATTATTATTATTATTATCATTATTATTATTATTTTTATTATTATTATTATTAAAAGAAGGGATTGTGCACTGCGACCTAAAAGATCTAATTCGCCCCTTACTCGGGTTAGAGTGTTGCTCCAAGTCCGATTTCTTTAAAGAAAGACAATATAGAGCCTACCTTTCCTAGTCTTGAATCTTTATGATCCTTGAAATACCCTCCTAGGTGTTTCTTCCGCTTGTGCATCAGTGCCGGACACTCCCCAAGCACATGGTATGCAGTTTCTCTCTCTTCTCTACAGTATTAATAAATTTTCGATTAAAGAAATAAAGCAAATAATATAATAAAATTATTCATATATAAACAACTTTGTTATTGTTTATACTATGTAATCAAATATTACTAGTTATGAAATTAATACCTAATTATTAACATATGAATAATTATTACAAACTTAAGAGAAAAATGTGATACAAAATATGAGGTTATTATAGTGCTTAATATTTTAAAAATTCACAATTTTTAAATTTAATATAATTATTTCGAAAAAATTTTAGTATGTTTATTAATTACTTTCAAAAACTGTGACGCAAAAAATTAAAAAATATAACGGCATATGATATCAAATACTGAATTTCATAGAAGGCTAATTTTTTGTATTTTCTTTTTCTGTTCAAAAACTATGTAAACGCTTAAATTCAAAATTGTATACTACGTTTAAATTGTGAGATTCAAATAACGAGATTAAGTTAATCTGCATTTTTAATCTCCACCGTTTACATTATACATTGGAGATTAATTTTGACGTTTCTCTTGCTGTGTTTTGTTTCGTGTGTTTGATAAAATTCTGTAAATAAAACATTTAATTACAATGTCGTACAAAAAAATCGTAATATAAATTTAATAAATAGTTTAATAACAATAATTTAACAAATTTTAGTTATAATTATGTACAAAACTATTATTAAAATAATATATTAAAAATTTACTACAAATATTTAATTGATTAATAAATATACATTAATTTAGATTTAAAAAATTTCAAAATTTATTAATCGGTAAGGACAATTTATAAAATTGTATTGTATTTTCAAATTTTCAATATTTGTTTTGAATAGATTTTGATGTTTCTTTTTCAATTCTTCTATGATCGTAAAAAATCTACAATATTAAGCCAGTTGCAGAATTGCACGGAAAAATAATTACCATTTTTAAGGAGATTAAAAATTAATCTCCACCAAAAGGAGATTAACTTTTGTATGGAAAATCTAAGATTAAACAACAAGATTAAAGGTAGATTAGTGCTTTAATCTACTTTTAATCTCACAATGTAAACGCCGTTTTAGACAAAAATTGGTGAAATGCAATTAATTAAAGTTTTTTTTTAAGGATAAATTATGAATCATGTAGGATACACGGAAATTTAAACTTACTATTACAGATGCACTATTTCTATAAGAAATTATCTGAAAGTGGTATCCTGAGGGACTGTTTAGTCCCTTTTATAACTAAACAGTTTTTCGCAATAGTTTTACAACACTGTTTTAGATGCCGAAAAATATCCACCAACACAACACAAATTGTTTACACTAATTGTATACATTTTTTTAAGTGTTCGCTAGTTTTTAAAAACATAATTGGCAGTTTTTAAAATTAAAATAAATGAATAAATCGCAAAACATATTTCATTATAAAGTATTTAAATAATGGCAGTTTATGATTCAAAGGAATGGCGAGAGTTTTTCGACACATACGCCAGCCTGAGTGAGCTTTGGCTGCCAAGTAAACGGGAAAAGAAAAAGTCACGTGAAAAAGCCTGGAAAGTATTACTAAAAAAATATGAAGCTGTAGATCCAAAAGCTGATGAATCTAGATTGAAGCAAAGAGTGGCTAGTATACGCTTTTGCTATAAGCGCGAGTTAAAAAAGGTACAAAAAAGTCTATTAAAGGCTGTAACAGAGGATGATATCTACTCTCCGAATTTATGGTATTATGATAAATTAGAATTTTTAAAGGATTATCTTGGAACACGCTCTACCAATTCACATAAATCTGAAATCAAGGAACAAATTGACGAAACAAGTTTTGTATGTTTACTTTGATAATAAGGCGTGTATAATTATTTTAATATTAATATAACTTTTTTACGTACAGACCGATTCAGATTCGATGCCCAATTTATCAATTCCGGACCCATACAGTAGTTGTAGAGAAGAAACCATTAACATCGTTCCTAAAGATAATGCAATAACATGTGCAGAGCAATATAAACAAATGGATGATGCTGATTTTTATGCATCTTGTTGGGCACGTTCATTTTCAAAATTATCTACTTTACAACAAATTTATGCAAAACAAGCAATAGATGAGATACTCATACGTGGTCAACTACAACAACTTACACAAAATTATTTGGCTCCAATACCTGTTCCACAAGTTGCTGGATATTTATTAACAAAAAATATTACAACTGCACCAATTGTATTTCAGACTTAAGGACTTATAAAACTATTAAACAGTGTTCTCACTGTTTTCTAAATATTTCAATAGAGCTTACATTATTAAAATAATATTTTGATCTCATATTTATAATTATTAATTTATTTTAGTTTACTTTTTATTAATTTATAATAATAAATAATCTCTTAATTAAATAAAAGAATACAATTATTTTTCGAATAACACAGTTTCTTAAACTTTTTCAACACGGAACATTGAATCTATACCATATTGCGCAGGAAGAGTTAATACAAAATATTGGTATTACAATAGACTCATAGGACCTAAGTGAGTTAGTCAATTAGAACGACTACAACACTAACCTAGTCTATCCAATATACTACATTTAATACACAATAATATACTAACTTTTCATGAAGCGCTGAAAGTACGAGACACAGGGAACTTGTATTATTTGTAACTAAAATGGTATATTTCACTATATCTCAAAAAAATTAAAATACAACTGTTGATATTATTCATACGGAAAAGTGCGAACGGCACTTGGTTTGATAGATCGGGCCTCTGTTGGAACAAAGTTTCTTTGATTTATACTTCCATCCTATCGATAAGGCAATGGTGCTTCACATTGACCCATGCTAGTATCACATTATTTCCTTTTGTGTTAATGGATTCCATTTGTGCAAGTGCCTTACTTAATTAAACTTTTCATATTCTAATTCTATACTAAGTATTGTAAATACATATTCTACTGCTACATACTCTTCAAAGAATGTTCCATTTATAGGATATTTACTACACTAAAGAAGAATCAATAAAGATGAATCCAAACTTCTAGCAAAATAATAATGAATGAATGAATTATAAAATTAATTATGTCAATTAGTTAGGTTGTACTTCATCATCATCTGTTTAAATACAGTTTTCCATTCTTCTCTGTTTTTTGATTTTATTTTCTAATTTCTTATATTCATTTCTTCTAAGTCCTGCTGCACACTGTCTTTCCATCGTATTTTTGGTCGTCCTCTTCTTCTGCTAGTTTCTACTTCGTTCTCATAAATTTTAAGCGGTGCTCCCATATGCGGCATTGTTATCACATGCCCAGTTAGGTTGTACTTATTTATAGTTAATGTATAAAATTAAAATTGCAAATATAAATCACCTGTATATAATAAAGATAAAGTATTACTACTACACTCTTCCTTCAATCACCTATTGATATATAAGAGTAGTAATACGTTTGGTATTAGCCTAGCTTGGTTTGGCATAGCTTCATTTCAAAATTTACATTTTAATGAACAGTAGTCATTACACTATATAATATTCTTTACACTATAATATTCACAAATTTCATCAACTTTTGAGAGAAAAAGATAATTTATGAATGCATTCACTGTGGTTACATCCTTTTTGTTTCAACTTTATTAATTTTTCCTTTTAATAAATTTGTTATACTGTAACAAAATAATTTTTATTTCAGTCAAAACTGTTGCGTTCTTTTGTTCTATTTTGAATATTGCATACAATTTATTATACATTTTTTAGGAAGATTCTAAACTTATATAAAAAAATCGTTTATCGGAATGACTTAATATGTATAATTAATTTGAATTATATTACACAATTATTTGTATATTATTAAATGTAAAATATAAATAATTTAAATCATATTAACAATATATTATGATTTTCACATAGAAATATTTTAAAAAATATAAATTGGAAAATTGTTACGAATTGGCGCACTTACAATATAGACACTAATTTACATTTTGTAAATTGTTTGATTTATTTAAAAAAAACAGCATAAAAATATAATTACATTAAAATATCTAACAAGAGTGTAACTAACAATGTTTCTATCACACATAGTCGAGCTGTATGTACATCTGCTTTACTCCCACTGACTCAAAAATCATTCGCGCATGCGTCACTACGTATTTAGGATCTACATTCTTTGATACTTCCAGTTTAATAGCACCAACATATACGTCCGAGCACAATGTCCAAAAATGTGGCTCCTGCACGGCATAAACACCCGCTAACCCTGTAACTTTCTGATAGCAATGAGGTAATGAACGATCTAAATCCGTTGGTTGTCTTTGCATTAAGATCAAGATTGACTCTTTAATAAGGCTAAGCACACTTAATGCTATAAGCAAGGCTATAAAAATTGAGCATATTGGATCCGCAATCATCCAGCCAAACAAATGCATTAGCACCGCTGAGATAATCACACCAACTGAGCCAAGTGTATCAGCCAATATATGCAAAAATACACCACGCATAATTTGGGAATTACTGCCAGAGATGTCGCCGTTCAAACCGCCATGGGAGTGACCATGTCCTTGCTCATGTGAATGACCGTGACCTGTAAAATTTTAATGTAAGTTGAAAAAATAAAAATAGTTTTTTTTTATTAATAAAAATAATTACCATCCAAATCAATTGCGTGATTATTATGCCCATTCATATCAAGTAGGTTGTTGCCATGCGAATGACCATGTCCACCTCCGTGTGAATGTCCATGGCCACCACCTCCATGACTATGGCCATGACCACCATGTTGAAAGGCGTATATACCCACTAAGTTCACAATAAATCCCAGAACGGAAACAACAAAAAGACGTTCATGTTTTACTTCAGGTGGTTCAATAAGACGTTCAACGCCTTCCGATAGTATGAAAAATGAAATAAATAAAAGGAAGAGACTATTTACAAATCCAGCCAGTACTTCAGCTCGTACATAACCGTAAGAAAATTTTTCATTAGCTTTCCACTTTGTAATAACCGATGCAGCCAAACCCGCCAGTAGACCAGTACAATCGAAGAACATATGAAATGAGTCCGAGATAAGACCTGTAAAATAGTATAAAATTAATATTCCATTTCGAAATAGATTTCCTGCCTTACGACATAAAATTCTTAATTACAAAATTGTTACCTAGTTTCAATATTCTTAAATAATTGCGTGCGTTTAACCCTAGGGCTATTCTCTAATGACATTTATTCAAAAAGATATTTATTAAAAAAAGTAATTGTTTAAAATAAACAAAACACATTCTATTTAATATAATAGAATATTGTAATGTGGATTTAGCAATGCATTGTGTTCATAATTTAATATTGTTGTGTTGTAGCTAAAAGTCGACTAGAACACCGCGTGGAAATGTACACAAGAGAGTCCATAATAGGATAGGATGACGGAAGTGATATTGTATAAGATAGAGGTAGGAATAAAGAAATATGTAGAGATGCTGAATCTACCTAGAGAGATTCTGTAGAGATGTTGAATCTGGATGAAGGGATCAGATTACCTAAACAGGCAGACCCATAAATCAACAGGGCTTAAACATGGACAATGTTGTGTGGAGTTGAGCTACAATTTAGGCACATGTGGAGATGAATGTGTATTGTTGTAGTACATTCCATAATTTATTCAATTTATTTTCTTTCCATTTCATTTTCGGTATAAAATCTACAAAGTTTATATGATTGATGTCTATAAATGGTTTAATTTTCCACTAGTGGAAATCAATATAATTGACTTCTTTCTATACATCAACATATTTTGTTTGGAAGAGTAAAATATTTAAGTGTTGGAACTCTATTTGATAATCTACTTAAAGATAAGACTGATAGAAAATTATCTATGAAGCATAATACATGTATCCATAAACCTGTATTATAATAATTTGGCCATATATATAGTCAACTAATTTTCAGTATAACATACAAATTTTTCAAAAAATCGAAATTAAAACGTAAGATCTAACGAGTGTAGTTGCCCAAGAAGATTTGCTAATTATTCATACCCAATTACTGTTTTTATAGTAACAATAAAATATGAATGAGTACACCAATGGAATCGTCAATGATTATAGCGAATACGTTATTATTGTAACACGAAGAGACTTCTTGAGAGAAACTTGAATGGACTATGTTATTAATGCAAAAAGTATGATTGGACATGTGGGAATGTTGTTGGAGAAAAGAAGACGCTACCTTAAACCAATGTAGCTTTGGTAAAACTGAGAGAATTGTGTCAACTGAATGAGATAGCGTCATAAAACAAAAGTGTTTAAATTCATATACCATATGTAGTTGGACATAAAAATACATGGGCAATATTATGTAAAATAGATCTTCAGTGCGGGACAAGCATTGTTGACCTGGTCTTCATTTTAGACTAGTAGAAACTAATGCTATTGCCTATATTAAAATCATATATTCAAATCATTTCATATACACAATACTTCATAAAATTCGGTTTACCCCGAGACTACACTAGCGTAATAGTATGTTTCCACTGGCTTCGCGTTAGACCAGTTAACTTACTTGAGATTCAAGTAATTCAAGTAATTTTAAATAAGTTAACTGCACAAGACTCCATAATAGGGTAGGCTTGGGGATCAGTTAACTTACTCCAGATTTAAATAATTTAAGTTAGCCAGTGGAAACATACTAATAGTCAAAGAGTGAGATTTTATGCAGCAAACTTGCCAAAGCTTGTATACGTGTACGCTTGGTAAATCGAATTTTATGTATTATATTATATGTTTATAAAAAATGATTCGCATCGAAAGTCCCAAATGTAAATGAAGAACCAACATACAACGTAATAATATATATTTCTAAATATATATATTTATAGTGACCATATATCATTATTTAGATACCAACTGCTGAAGATGCCTTTGTTACTGTTATTAATATTAGCAGTGTTTGTATGTTTTCTTATAATAAATGATACTAAATTAGTAGTGAAACAAATTTGTATTACAGTTAAAGTTTTTTTTATAAATTTTAATTAAAAACTATTATTATTACATTTACATAAAAAATTGCTGAATAATTATTTGTTTTTGTTTTAATAGAAGTAATAACTATATTATTAAATATAATAATATAATCAATTTGTTAACAAACAAAAAATTATATTCGATGATATTATCATTTACGGTTTATGGGTTAGGTTAAGGACTTTCTGCACTGTGATCAGCTTGATCTATTGTACACATATTATTATTTAATATTTATTATTTTCATAGCACTTGTGCAGAAATTCCCTCTTATCTTTAACTCCAAAAACAATAAAAGGGTTATTGTATTAAAATGTTTCCCATAAAATTATTGAATATAGAAATCCCTAGAATGTTAATGTTTGTTCTTGCATAAAATGAATCCTGAATTATTAGTTTTTGTTAAGACTTTTTGAGGACCATTAAATCAATATCTCGCAAACCAAGCTGTAACGACATTGTAGTGAAAAGGTTTCTTAGAATGACAAATTTTACATGAATCGGTCGTAAAACGGTAATGTCAACGGACTCACTATCGTGAAGTTTCCGGATTATAACAAATATGAGGGGTCAACTAATTTTATTGAATGAAACATTTGACACTTTACACGTAATATCGCAGAATCCACAAAAACCCCAATAAATTGTTTTGGTTATTAGATCTTTGAGCTGTGCCCCTCGACTGGTCTCGTTATTAATGTAGGATTAGGCAAATTACCAGCTATAAACATAAATATTTATCAATACAATTTCATACAAATGTCACATATAAAATATTTACTTAACTATTTTTAAATAATAAGTTTTATTCTTTACTCTTAATTATTATTTATTAACTCTAACTTTATAACGAAGAAATGATAATTGAAAAAGATTCCCAACACATTTTAAAGCAACTAAAAGTTGTAAAAATAAAATTTAACAACAATAAACGTGGAGATAACAAATTACTTCATACTAAAACGAATAATTCAGTCTTCTGATAAGATATTATGAACAATCTTTTAATAGCTCAATTCATAAATTATCTATTTAATATTTTTGGCGCAGGATATAAAATGAAATGACAATATATAATTAAATTAAAATTTTTTTTATTACTATGGCATCATAATTTAATTAATTTTAAATTATTATATTTATTTACACTTACCTAAACTGTTTGTCCAAATGCCATAGAAAAGTTCTACGAATGCAAAACTTAGATTTAGCAAAAGAAATAAAAATAAATTTCTTGAGTTTCTATCCGAGAATATGAGCCTCTTCCAGCTGTTAATTTTTTCCTTAATCCGATGGCCAATATTGTTGCGGTCCCTGTGTGTCAGCGGCAACATAGCAATTTGTTTAAAACTTGCTATTTGTTATTTTACAAAACTGCTTTACAAGTTATTTGTATATGTATTTATGCTTGAGTGCTTCGAATTGCATACGTGGAGTTTATGTGCTTAATCCCTTTAAGCTTTAAATTAACAAATAATTTGGATGTTCGTGTACTTATAATTTATATTAGTTGCCAATTTAGTTTGAATTATCCTTAATTAAAATAAATATTGGCACTAATTTATTTCATTTATAATTTTGTTAAATTCCCCATTTATAACATTGTTGTTTAATCTTAATATTGTTTTATTTTAACCTTAATGTGCAAAATTAAGAATTCTTCTTTACTTTCTTTTTTGTAATTCTCTTTCTTTGACAGTTCTTTTGTAAACACATTTTGTTGTTGTTGCCGTGACAGCCGCTCACAGAAGAAGATAAAACAGAACATAAAATCATTATTACACTTTCCGAACGCTTTCAGCTGTCAAATGTTTGTATGCTGATTGTGGTAACACTGACAATTTCCGACTTCCATCTTTTTGCATTAAGGTTACCGAGATGGTAAGTTGTGCGGTGTTAGTAAAAGAATATTTTAAAATGTTTTATTGTACTAAATAATTAAAGTTTGTGGTTAAAAAGAATTCCCAATACTATTTTATTTATATTTCAACTAAAATGTAGCATTTTATAAGTGTTTAAATTATGTTGAGCTGCAAAAATTTTTGAAACTAAACGTGCGTGGTTGCTTGTCAAATGACAGCCAACAACAAATACCACACGCATAACCTGCAATTTACCAAAAGTTGAAAAAATCAAATTAATAACAAATGTTATATATTGAAATTACATTTTAATTGAGATTTAAATGAAATAACATTATCTACATTGCAAAAAGATTAAAAAATATTTTTTTTTATTAAATTATAGCCGCCTAAGAAGGATACAAAGTCCTCGGCTAAACAGCCACAAAAAACTCAAAAGAAGAAGGAAGGTAGCGGCGGCGGTAAGGCTAAGAAGAAGAAGTGGTCCAAAGGCAAAGTCAGGGATAAGTTGAACAATCAAATTCTTTTTGATAAAGCCACCTATGATAAACTCTACAAGGAGGTACCACAGTACAAATTGATCACACCCTCAGTTGTATCTGAACGTTTGAAGATTCGTGGTTCATTGGCAAAGAGGGCTTTGGTTGAATTACGTGATAAGGGTATGTTTAAAAAGTTTGCTTTTATTGTACTTAATTTAATATAAATTTTTTATTATTAATTTTAGGTTTGATTAAACAAGTCGTGCAACATCATTCCCAAGTTATCTACACTCGTGCTACCAAAGGTGATGATGCTTAAATGTTATACCTTCGATTACATTTTATTTACAAATTCTAATTGTAAGGAATGAAATTAAGGGTAAAATAAAAATCCTTTTTTTTTTAAATAAGAATTTTCCTCTTTTTCTTGTGAATATTATTTTAATATTATTCAATGTTTATAATTGTGTTGTGCTTGTGAATAAAATTTAAACTTTAGTATAGAATCGTAAAGTTTAGCCAAAAGTAAACAATTGAAATTGTATAATAAAGTCTGTTAACGGACACCTCTCTTGGGTGCGTAATTACTCTTGAATGAACAAAAATTATGATTAGATTCAAATTAGGTCAATATTGAACTGAAAAGTAATTATTTATATATGACTATACACCGATCTTAATAGGTCTTAGAAGTAAATCTTTATATGTACCAATATGAATTTGACTTGTCTTGTTCTGTTCTTTAAAATACGAGATATTATAGGTCATACAGTTCTTAAGGTACGTTAGGTAATGTCTAGCTCAACCTGGCATTGCTATTTGAACACAGCATTGTTAATACTAATTATGGCCACTTTGTAGACGATTACCAATACTACACTTTACCAATACTTTATAGAAATGCACCAATTCAGCAGTGCATTCTGCATGCAGTCAATTAACACGGTCTATTTCTTATCCTAGGAAGGTCAAGATTCAACTATGATCATTGAGCCATTAATGATGGTGATGATTTTTTATCACATATTTATTATTTTGTAATAAATAATTAAATGTTCTTCAGGCGGAGAAAAGAAAATACATTTAAGCTATCCGACAGTGTTATATAATTTCGTTTAACTACTGATCGCTATTAGTTTTCAACTAACTTTATTTCGTTTGCTGAATTAAATATTAATGGGAGTATGATTTTTTTTTGTGAAGTATTGTTTGTGATGAGGGGTAAGGAGGTTCTAATTGAAACTACCTGTGTCAAAATCGATAATCAATTCTAGCCACTCATATAAGTCGGAATCAAAGATGGAATTCCAAAAGCAGCTGGGTCTATGTCACTGGCATATGCTAATCACGATGACAAAGCGTCACTCAATAGGGATTATACCGCGCGATAACCACTTTGATGGGACGGAGCTATTCATTACGATTCAAGTTAATGTGACTGATGGTCAATTTTCTGAGGAATATATGTAACCACAAGACTACATTATAAGTAGATGCATTTATATGTGAGAAATGTCTATTTAGCAGTTACTGATATTTTCCTTATTCCGTCATTCTTATAACAGGTCCCTGCTAAAATAGTATTATTCTTTTGTGACAAAAAGTATATTATTATTAGTATTACTTTCTAGGCCAAAAACGCTTAAAGGACCTTCTACTTAAATATAAGTACATACAAGAAATTTTAATTTAGTAAGTAATTCTCTCATATCTGAAAACAATTTCGAGGTTTATATTTCTATTCCGACAGATATAACTATGGTGCACAATCTACAAATATCTTTGTAGCTGATAACGAACTTAAAAGGTTTTAACTGTTGCAGCAACTCACTGGATGAACAAATCATCTACAAGGATCCTACGTCAAAAAAAATGTTGAAAGTGGCATGGGTTTTTAAATATGTTTTCCTCCAATGATTCTGATTATGTTGTATACAATTAAAACCTTTATTACATTTTCCAAGCATTACAGTTTTAAGTGAAGCAGTGCTTTGATAAGCATTCCGTTTAATTGTCTCTGATTTAATGCATGATTCCCTAAACACGCACAGCATCCATTACTACATCATTGATTAATTACTTCAACCACGGCAACAATTCGATGCCTTTCTGATTGTTTCCTCATTTATTTACGGCGTATTCTTATTATCCGCCCTTGCAATCTTAATGTTAAATGTGTTTCCCCATTATTATATGATCCAATACAGTATTCTATATTATACTCATAATTTAGTCAGTAGATCACTGAAAAAAACTGATTTATTTTATATGATTTTAGTTAAAGCTTCATTTCGCAATTTTTCATATCAAATACTCAATCGTGATAAATCATTTCAATTAGCACTGCAATTGTATGCAGTTATTGTTGTAAATTTACAGAGGCATATATTTTATCAGTGCATATAAAACCTTTGTTTTTCATTCATTTTTCTTAGGATCAGTATGTTTTTGATTATGTTGTTATTAATGTTAAGTTATAATATTTATGTATTAATAAGATAGTATTTAATATATAAGCAATTAATTATTTAACAAATAAATTATTTATTAATAATTTATAATTCAAAAATTTATATTAATAAAGCGCCATCTAGTTTTCACTAAAGTGCTTGTTAAAATTGCCAATAGAGGAAAAATACGAAATTAGTACTAATTTTCACAGCAGTAAGCAGCACTGTTGCTGTCATGTGATTGGTAAAAAGTTTTTTTCGCTGCTCAGTCACCTGTCACATAAAAATATAGATATTTTGTAAGTTTTTTCTCGACGCAATTGAAAAAATTGACTGCTTCATGTTTACTTAAATGATATAATAAAATTGTAATTATTTTTATTGTAGTATAAACGCGAAAAACTTTTTACAATGGCCGCCCAGTTACGCACTGTAGTTGGAAAAACATTTCTATGGTTCTTCATTGCCGTATGTGTCATACTCATCCTGATACAATTGCTGACAGGAAAAGGTGAGCGCGTTAGTGTCGGTTGGTTCTTGGCATCAACTTCGCCATATATGTGGGCATGTTTGGGTATTGGCCTTGCCGTATCGCTATCAGTTGTGGGTGCTGCCCTTGGTATACATACGACTGGCACCAGCATAATGGGCGGTGGTGTAAAGGCACCGCGTATTAAGACTAAGAATTTGATTTCTGTTATTTTCTGTGAAGCTGTTGCCATTTACGGTTTAATTACTGCCATTGTTTTCTCTGGTCTCTTGGAGAGCTTCCAGATGGAAATTGCATTGTCTAATCAAGTAGTCATGAACAATAACTGGACTGCTGGATATGTTCTGTTCGGTGCTGGACTTGCTGTTGGTTTGGTCAATTTGTTCTGCGGCATAGCTGTCGGCATCGTTGGATCAGGTGCTGCTTTATCCGATGCAGCGAACTCAGCACTTTTTGTTAAAATTTTAATTGTTGAAATTTTCGGTTCTGCCATTGGTCTTTTTGGCCTGATCGTGGGAATTTACATGACATCGAAAGTGAAAATGGGTGATAAGGAGTAAGCAGGTTGGAGTAGTACCAAAGTAAGCACAATTCAACCGTTTATCATTCATATACATATTTTTAATTTAACCTAGACTTCATGTTTTTATTCGTTTTTGATTTGGAACTTTATAAAAAAAATATTTTATTCAATATCTATTAAAGTACAAAATTTGTTAATAGTTTTTAAATATTAATTGTTTTCCATTATATTAAAAATGTTCTGTTAACTCATATAAAAAAAAACGAAATTTTAACTTATAACTTATAACTTATAAACTTCTGTATCCTGTATCTTTCATATATTAAACTGAACATCAGAGGACTTTTGTATGTACTACCAAAGCCCACGAAGCAGTCAATCAGTCATTCCCACAAATTTTGCATATACTAGAATTATAAAGAAATTACATCCCATCCACATCTATTAGAGATTAAACAGTTTCTCTTTATTTTAATGATGTTTCTTCGCGTTTATAAGATTGGAAGCATTGCACTACAACAAGCAAATGCCAATGACGACTTAGTTACAGTGTTTATGTATTAAATTAATTAAGTAATTATATATACGACTAATTTTATTATGTAATTTAATTATTAAAATACAGATATTGTAAATTGATTATAAATTTATAAACTAGAAATTGAGCTTGTGTAAATTCTGTCAAATACAGAATTTTCCATTCGATGAATCAGCATCAGTTAACATCAAATTTATCATCGATGGAAAACTGCGTCCTGACATGGATTTGACAAATTCAATTTAAATAATTTTACTTAAACTTAATGTTTAGCTTGAGTGATAAATTCAAGTTTTATTTTTGTTTTATTTTGAAACCATTTCAAATATGTATTTATTGTTATTAAAGCAAATTATTTACTCTTTTAAAAAAGAATAAATCAACAATTATATATTGAATTGTAAATTATTATATATTAGGAAATTGTATAAAGTAATCAACAAAAAAAGTATTCCATTTAAATAATAAAGTGTGTTGTTCGTTCTCTTTCAGGGAAAAAGTTCGGTTTTTATTTTAATTCCTAAAAAAATGTGAGTTCAACGAAAGTGATATTCACGATCTCGAATAGTGTCCCATCCATCCACTCCCCTACCCATATATTCGTCTTGTAATCCTTACATGTGTAGCCCCGGCATAGTAACAGGGCAAAGCAGAAATAACAAAATGTATAACTGATAAAAAATTCTGCGTGAGAGATAAGACAAATATGGCCAACATCCTTTCTGCAGAGGCAGACATACCTCACGAAAGCGTGCTAGGCCCAATCCTTTAACTCTTATATGCGGCTGACATTCCCACACCAATAATTCTGCGTGAGATATAAGACAAATATGACAAACATCCTGTCTACAGAGGCAGACATACCTCAAGCAAGCGTGCTAGACACAATCCTTTAACTCTTATACGCGGCTGACATTCCCATACCAACAACTAATGACGAAATGACTTTTGGAAATGATGTTATCCTGCAATCTGCTAATGAAGCCAATACAATAGCTATAAGTAACCCTCAAGGTCTTATTGACATGACAATTTATTGGTTCAATACGTGGGTAGAAAGTAGAATGTAGTTTATTCTCACCGCTTTGCACTGTTACTTTATCATTAAGTTACATATGTTCTTCGAGATCGTGAATATCACTAATGAAATTTGTTAAAATTTATGGAGGCATTGTGCCAGTATCTTACGAGAACTTAGATTTGCGCACCTTCATTCTTTAAATGTATATGAACGAAAATGTGGTCTGAAGTTCTAGTCAGGTCATCACGTTTCAGTTAGTGAAAATGCAGATGTTTCAAGTGGCGCTTTAAAAAACAGGCAATATGTATTTGTAGATAAATTTGGATAAAATGAAAAGAAGTTGAATTTCCTCAAGTAGCTAGAAAATTTTATTGATTCCAAATTTCTCTTAACATGTAGAAGTGGGTTGGTTGCTTTATAATTAACCGTGCTCATAGATTGATGAATGCGTTTCATCATTAAATAGATTTACATTTCAAAGTGAACTTTAGCGAGATTATACATTTATAATGGATTGTCCAATTTGTACGAAAGTGAGAATATCACCAAATGAGTTTATTCACTGTTAAGGATGTTATCCTATTGACTTTCTTAGACATTATTAAGTAATACTGCGCCCATCGTAGATGATTGGGTTTTATAAATGCCACCATATTTTCTTTATTTATTTTCTTTATTAGATAGGTCTAAAAGGTCCTAATTACTTCTTATACTATAGTCACTATTACATCCCGATAAGGGCCAAGTAATTTTCGTGGTATTTTTCTTTCAAAAGCATACAATAGATTTTTGCCACTTGTTAGAATTCGCATTAGAATAGGCCGAATTACGATTTTGTAAAAAGTATATTGAAGTTTCGTGAAAGAAGTCGCATTATATCCTGAATGTAATGCCTGAATAATACGCGATTAGTTATTTAATTTCTAAGCAAGAGATGTTGTTAGACCCAACGATTTGCACCAACTATAGCGGGACCAGCCTAGTATCTGTTGTGTACAAGGTCCTTTCAACTGCACTGTGTGAAAGTTTAAAGCCACATGCCAACTCATTGATTAGGTCTTATCAGCACGGTTTCTGATCTGATCGCTCTACCAGTGACCAGATATTCACAATATCGACACCCACCACCTTTTTGTCGATTATAGACTAGTTTTTGATTGCCACTTAAGTGATCGCGTTTACGCTGCAATGTTTGAGCTCGGTATCCATGTAAAGTTAATACGACTTTGCAGAATGACTTTGAGCAGTACCCATAGCTCGGTCAAGATAGGATGAAGTCTCTACGCAGCGTTTGATACCGTGCGAGGCTTCAGACAAGGTGATCCCATATCATGTGATTTTTTCAATTTTGTCATAGAAGTGATCATGCGCAAGGTTTATCGTAATATAACTGTATTTTACAAAAATGTCTTGCTCCTTGCTAAAGCCGATAACATAAACCTCTTTAGACGTAGCAAGCGTGTTATCATTGCTGCCTTTGTCACTATCAAGAAGTTATATGCAAAAATGGGCTTGAAACGCAATCTGTACAAGCTTTATCACGACATTGATATAATTCAGCCGGCTTCGCTGGCTTGGTCATGTCATGAGAATGGATGAAGACGCTTCAACAAAGAAGGTATTTAAAGCGGTGGTTGGAATAAGAAGACGTAGAAGTAAACAGTTTCTCTGGAGGAGTTAACAAATTGAGGGGCCACTATTATTACCATATTTTCATATAATGCTCTATTAAAAAAAAATTTTGATTATAACAAACACTTTCTACTCTTTTATTTCAACTTTTAATAATATCTGTGTCATCCGTATAATATAAACGTACAACTGTATTTTGACTGCATAATAAATAGTACTTATTGTGTTGTTATAAGGGAGAAGAGTGTTAAAAATTACATTACTCAAAAATACGATATCTGATTTTGTGCCGTAGCGTTATCACATCATTTTGGAATTTTCCTTGATATATTGCATATCTGTTAATATTGAGAATTAGTCCACTCTCATATTTGTAAATAGTAAAGCTTGTTGCTTAAAAAACGGAATCTAATATAATATATATGTCACTTTAAGACAAAACACCCTGTATATCTAATAAATTTGATTAGTAGCATTTGTGAAAAAAACTTTACAACACTGTAATTTTACGGTTCGTACTGTCAAATATTTTTATTTTCCAAATCTTTGAAAATCAGTTTAATTGAATGGAGAGATTAAGTTCAAAACAATGTCGAATATGAAAAAGGACATTGATTGCTTGCCATGTCGTTTAGTAAGCGGATTTGGTATAATAGGTATTGGCACTTATTTATATACACAAGCCAATAAGCGTAAAGGATTTCATAAAAATATAATGGTTGTTATCTCTGCTGGCAAGTAATCGCAACTATGAATTAAATATATAAAAAATTACAACTGTTCGATCTTCTTTACAGGTGCTGTTGGGTTAGGAGTAGCACGTCTTTTAAATATGCCGTTTCTTAAAGCTAATAAATAATAGACAGTTTTTAGTAAAAATTTGATTTTATTTATTCATCACTATCACTTATACTTTCATCAGCTTCATTATCATCGTCTTCCTCATCTTCGTCCCAATGTTTGATTTTTTTATTGGTCATAAAATCATCTCTCAAAACATTCCATTCTGATTTCTTTTTGTGCGTACCTCCACCATTCTGTTCTTCATCACTACTGCTTTCCCCTTTAATTTCATTTTTGATTGAATTATCTACTGCTTCAGACTTTGCGCGTTTACCAGACATTAACACATCGAGGAATTTACGTTTATTTATGTTATTTAGAACTGCTTCCTGCCGGCTATCTAATTTTCCGGCTTCGTCAAGTTGATTTTGCAAATCTTTTTGTTGCATACGCACCGCATTAAATAATTGCACTACGCCTTTTGTGGCTATCTTGCGTAATGTGCGCTCACGTTCAATATCCTTCCAGGTAGGTTTCACACGCAATTGCAGTTGCACATTCTTACGCTGTGTGAGTTTATCATCTAATTCGTCTTTATCTGGCTTTTCTTCTTTGATTTCACCTTCTACTTCGAAACTATAGCTTTTCGTTTCTGGTAATTTACTTTGTGATTTAATTTTTTTGGCTCGCGACAAAGCAAGTGTTTTTTTTGTTTTTGGTTTTGTGGTATTCAAAACTTTGGCAATAGAGTCTGCCCAACCTGCATTGCCTGTCCCATTCTGCTGTTCATCCTCGTCACTTGTTCGATCACTGCCATCGTCACTGAGTGTGCCTGAATTTTCTAAATTAATTAAAAGACAATAAATTTTTGTTTAAACATTAATTTGTGGCAATATAAAGTACCTTTAATGGTTTTTTCTTTTTTTAATGCAGTAAATGCCATATTTTTAACGAGAACTATAGCAACATATGTCCAAACTAATATGAAATTGTTTATTTTGATATGACTTCACGTGCACGCATAAGGGTTGCCATATCGCTATTACAATAATCATTGCAAAACGTCAAAATTTTTTTCTTGGTATTGCCGGCCATTAATTGTGACAGCACTTATCTTCTCATTGTTTATTCTTCCAAAAACATTTAGCATCTCGTGAAAAATGTTAAAAGTTAAGTTACAGGCGTTAAATCATCCCACTCCAGATGATTTGGATGTGAATGGTATGTTTTTCCGTTTGATACGAGCATTACATTTGCTAAAATTTATTTCATTAGATCGTAAGGTATTTGCAAGCACTATTCTATGGCTGGAGGACCAAAAGATACGTCAATATAAAATTGAGGATCGTGAAAAATTAAGGCAAGTAGATAAGTTGCCGGTTTGGGAGAAAGCATATGCTGAATATAAATCTGATCTCGGTATGCCGAAATACAAAACACCGCTCGAAGAAATATCTTGGATGTTGGGATATGCTGTACGGCTAGAATTCTTAGATGAACCTGATAGATATGCAAGTATCAATTCCCAAGAAGTTGGTGCAAAGCAAAAGAAATCAATTGCACCTAGTATTAAAGCAGAAAATTTCTTCGACAACATGGATTGTACGTATTTTGATAAATATATTTCTCATATTATATTTCTTTTGTTTTTTTTTAAGTTAATAATAAGGACTTCATAGCTGGTGTACGCACATTGGCCAGCAAATTACAAGTACCACATCATCCTAATCATTTGATACAGCTTGAAGCCATTGCACGCCTTGTGAAAGAGCGTTTATCACCAGCAGCGAAGAATCGTAAACCAATTGTTGGTACACCCTTTCCATTTGAAAAAGGTGAAGATGTTGTTTCCCCTAATGATAAGGATTTAGATTATCCTGTTCGTATCATGCGGCTACTGCAGATTCAAAGCTTACGAGAACTACAAACACGTATAAATGAAACAATCGTCGCTGTGCAGGATTTAACAGCGAACCCTAAGACTGATACAAAGTTAGGCCAAGTTGGACGATAAGCAATATGCATTACATTACAAAATAATTAAATAAATGTAACCACACAAAGCAACGACAAAATACTTATAACTTATTCTAAAAACAAGTGACCAGTTTAATATTAACAAATCCATATTAATGCCTTTATAACGTTTTAGCTCGCAAATATTTTATTCATAACCTAGTAAGAATTAAAATTAATTAATGCATGCGATTGTATTTCGTTATTAATAAATTATTTAATTATTAAGCACTGTGTTTGGCTTGGTGAGTAAATCTGCAGAGGATTTGCAGCATATAATGTTATTGGTAAATTCCAAATCATTGTCTCGACTGGTATCTCAGCGGGTGCTTTAAGTTCCCCCGATTCAGGATTGGGTTGTCCAAAATCCAACATAGTGCTAGTTACAAATTGAAAATGCAGGCGCCATTTTAACTCTACTAAATCAGTACGGAATGTTGGAGTCACTGTCAATGGAATAGGTAAAATAATCTGCGTCTGTAGCATAGCATAGCAAACTTCATGGCTAGTAGAGTATGTTGTTATTTTCCCCACAGGCTCTTCCACTTCCTTGTGTCTAGCACTAGCTGATGTTGCTGATTTATGTAAATTATCAACAGCTGTACCACTGGCAATACTTGCTAAATCCAATGAGTTAACTGATGATGTATCTGTACAATCACCACTCGTTGAAGTATTATTCCGTAGAGAAATTTCTTGCGATTGTAATTTTACGGAAAATTGCACGCACCGTACTTTAGAATTTGTGAAGTCTACACTGCCAACTATGTCTTCACCAAGTTTGTAACAAGGCTTGAACAGGCAGAAACGGCCTACAAAACCGTGTTTATTTGAAATACGATAAAATTTTGGTGCACGACGTGATGTGATATTCTATGAACCGAAAATAATGTTAGTACCTTCAGAATTATTACATATAAATAACATTTAGACCTTTAAATTATGCCATGAAATTTCCAATTCGGATATTTCGCGTTTCTCCAAAAATGGATTTGTAGGCGCAAGTTCATCATTTGTGTCTTCTGTGCAGTGTAAATCGTCTGGTCGTGCTATAATTGGTATAGGCAATACGCGTATAGGTAAGGTAAGAGTTTGTACCTAGAAAAAATACTTTAGTTTACAACTTCATTAGATATTAAATTATTACCTTTGATTTAACCCGTTGTGTTGCTATTGTTATTTTATAAAAATACCTTATATCATGACCACGAAAAGTTGGTGGACCATCGCGTGGTATAAGCTCGTTGAAAAAATCTGTAAAACCACTTATTTGAAAAGAAAGTTAATAAATTTAAATGAGAGCTTACATGTTTTTGTTTCTCCAGGCTTTAGTCTTAGATCGCAAAACAGAATTTTTGGTTTCGTATCTACGATGACATCACCTGGAGTTTGGGTCACCGCGTCAAGTGCTGTTTTGCCAATTAGGTCAGTTAACTCACTCACTTTATCCTGGGTGGCAACATTATAACTCGTCTTTCTGTAACAATGGAGCTGCACTGTTGCCCAAGCTAAGTTTTCTATTCGGTCACTACAATATTCATGGCAGTTCAACTTATTTATTATTGCTATGTACTCCAAAGTCACTCACTTGTTCTCATTGTTATCATTACTACCAGCTTTATGTATAAATTCGATTAGGCATTCGACATTTTCACCTGTGGCATAAATCGAGGAATCTGCACGAACTAATTTGGCTTTTATTTCAATCATATTTGTTTTAATTTAATTAGGAAATACAACAAAAATAAATGTATAAAACTAACATTTAAACAAATACTCCAAATAAAATGGCGATTCGCAGTGCAATGACAAGAGTTGCTATCAAATTAAATTTATTGGGATTATCATGATAAAGAAAAGAGTTATTCAGCCGTGCGTTGCACATACGAGATGCATCAGTTTGTAATTTTTTCAAAATTTTCAGTTCAAATTTTGAACTGAAATTTGCAGTTTTAATCACCAAAATAAGTAAAAAAGAGTAAAAAATAAATATATATTATTTTTACCGGATCAAAGTTCAGTTATTTAACACTTAAAATGGTACTAAGAAACACTTATTAATTTGTATTAAAATTTAAATATGTTTAAAAAAAAATATACATATATTTCGGTCTACTGCGTATCTTCAGTGTACATAAAGAAAAATAGGGTTATTTAACATACATGTAAATAAATATATAATAAGTGACAAACATTGTTGCCTCTTCCAATGTTTGACATTTTAAGTATTTTAATTTAAAATTAGAAAAAACATAAAATTCAGAAAAACCGATAAAATCAAACAATTTTAATTTTATATATATTAGTTGCACATTTCTATTTGATTAGAGGCCTTTTCATAGTTTAGTCTCTGATTGTCCGGAACATCAATCGTATGTAATATTTTTCGACATCTGTAATTTGGCTCTTGATGATCTATGCTATTGGAAAATTAGATGTATGGTTCATCTTAGAACAATTGGTCTGACCTTAAGACCGGTTAAAATAAAATTTATAAATATTCATGAATTACAATTAATAAATACTCATGTACTCATATTGGCCGTACAATCAAAGTCTAGCACTTCTTCCGGTTTCTTACGTTTATTAAAAACAGCACTGTTTTTTTTTTTTTTTTGCAGTAGGTGGAAAGCATCGAAAGCCACAGTGTGAGACTTGAAGCCACTAAAACCACCTCTTAGGAATGAAAGGAGAAGATTTCCACAGCAATGTGGAAATTTCATTCCAGTAATCATGGGAGAGAAGAATGAGAAAATAGATTTAATACCTAGTGAACTAGGCTCATCTAAATCAGAAAGCAAGGGCATGAACTAGGTAAAAAGGACGATATAGAAGGGGAAGGGGTTACGGCTAACTAGCGGGGGTTGAATCAACAGTATACTTTGTGACTAGGGTCACGAAAGCCGCGGTTATATAAGGGGATAGTGGAGAGGTTATGGTCCACTTCATCGAAGTAGTGTGTTAGGTATTGAGGGGGCTTATATCGCAAAGCTAGAACAAGGTCTTCTGAAAGAGTGAGAGGAGTAAAGACGTCGGGGGGAAGGTCATGGAGCCGGGTGAGATACCTACGGGCGAGTGACAGAAGATACTCGTCAACACGAGTGATCTTGGCATTGTTGTAGAGAGTTGATATAGAGAAGTGCTTGCCATTACGCTTGCGCTTGTAGTTA